CCTCGTTCATACTCTGGGAGGCTTTTTTTCCAATCCTACACTCAAAGATTTTTAAAAGGTCTCCAAAACATACGACCACCCTCCCAAACCATTGCACCCCAATGGTCCCTTCCGCTGGTCTTAGAGGCCATTACTAAACCTCCATTTGAACCAATGGCTACGTGCTCTGAAAAACTTCTTTCCTTGAAGACAGCATTCCTAGTAGCCATTACTTCAGCCAGACGAGCGAGCGAGATTGCTGCCCTAAGGTCTGACCCTCCGTACCTACAGATGCACCCAGATAAAGCTACCTTATATCATAGACATTTCCTTCCTCCCAAAAGTGGTGTCAGAATTCCATGTCAATCAGCCCATTGTGCTCCCAAACTTTTTCCCGTCTTCAACTACACTGCTGGAGCACAAACTTCATTCTCTTGACGTTAGAAGAGCCATTGCCTTCTACCTACACCGCACCACGTCCATCCGACGCTCTCTTCTTATGTTACCACGGACCACGCAAAGGTGCTCCTGCTTCTTCTCAATCAATATCACGGTGGATTGTTCAGCTCATTCACCTGGCTTACCAGCTGGCCAAGAAACCTCTTCCAGAGGGCTTAAAGGCACATTCCACCAGAGCGGTTTCCACCTCGACAGCCCTACTCAAAGGTGTCCAAGTGCAGAACATTTGCAAGGCAGCCACCTGGGCTACCCCTCTGACTTTTGCCAGGCACTACCAACTGGATGTCAGAGCAAAAAATGATGCGGCGTTTGGACAGGTGATACTGTCATCTATGATACCATGACGGCCCTCCTGCCGGTGAGTACAGCTTGCTATTCACCCATTTGTGTGCATTCACAGAGACCACTACGAAGAAAGTTAGGTTACTTATCTGTAACTTTGGTTCTTCTAGTGGTACTCTCTGAATTCACACATCCCTCCCTTCCTCCCCTCTATCCGTCATGGTACCGTTCTATGATACCATGCTTATCTAGTTTACGGTAACGGCGGATTAGGGAACTGAAAGGAAGATGGAGGAGGCGAGGCTTATATACCCCACGGGGGGAGCTAATTGACTCTTTTTTCTTACGCTCTAGAATCTTCCAGACGTTCCTGCGCAGGCGCAGGATAACCAATTTGTGTGAATTCACAGAGTACCATTAGAAGAACCAAAGTTACAGGTAAGTAACCTAACTGTTTTAGAAATAAAAATGATTCTGTAAATAAAGGGCAACAGCAGGCATTAAAAATAAAAGCAGAAAAATTTAGAACATGATCTGTCTAATATCCACCCTTGCCTTGCCATGCCTGGATGCAAAACAACTGGTGGATGGAGAATAAACAAGCGTTTGGGGAGGCCAATCTGAGCTCTCCCCAGAGCACAGTTTTTTTTCATTTCCAAGAAAGGTTTTGGTCTTCCACTGGGCCTTCCATTGTCAGTCTTTTTCTGTTTTGGCATTCTTCTGGGTATCCTCCTCCTGCTATAGCAACTGGCACCATGTATTTTTATTGTAGCCCCCAAAATTCTAGAGCAAACTTCAGTGATTTGTAAGAATGTGCTAAGTAACCCATGCACGTTGGAGCTTCTTGAATCAGCTTGTATCTGCTCTGGTAAAATACAAATACCACTGCTCTACCTTGTTTGGACATTTTTTTTCTGAAGGCCTGTGTACATCACTAGTTTAACTGAAAATGTCAGTGTGATAAAACTCAGTGTGTAAAAAGCAACAGAAGCAAAGAAGAGTGTTGAAATTCAGAAGAATCAATAAAAACCTCTGTTTAAAATAAGCTCTTGTGACACATTGATTCAGATTATGCTCCTTGTGTTCTGCACAGTTATTTTACAACAGGCAGTATGTCCATTCAGAGGACATGTTTTCTGGCAGGTAAATGATGGTAGAAAGGGAAACTGTTTCCTGTGAAGGAAGTTTTAAAATCATTCTTAGATTACTGTTGAAATAAGAGTACCCAGTGGCAACTGTTACTTGAAATAGTACTTAGAGTTCTTTGTACTATGCATTATACCACAAAGCAAAAAGATTATGTAATAAGTAATCAAATAACAAGTGGTCTGGCATATAGCAAAGTACAGTTTGGTCAGAACCCTGACTCTTCATTTCACAAAGATTGTCTCCTTGATTGTTGAGCTGTTAAAAATGAAGAATGTGTTTAACCACTGTAGTGTGACCTTTGCAGGTCTCCTTTTTAAAAGGATTAGAAAGTGTTGGCCTGCAACTAAGATAAATCTGCCCTTGTCAGAGCCCTAACATCAGCTAGTCCAAATAAATGAGCAGAATCTGCGGAATCATCTACCCTGTTTCCCTGAAAATAAGACCTAACCTGAAAATAAGCCCTAGTATGATTTTTCAGGATGTTCATAATATAAGCCCTACCCCCAAAATAAGCCCCAGTTAAGTGAAACCCCGCCCTCCACCATTATGCAGCAACCAGAAGATGACGTGACTGTATTTGAATAAATGTAGATTGTTCTACATGAAAAAAATCCCCTGAAAATAAGCCCTATTGGGTTTTTTGGAGCAAAAATTAATATATGACCCTGTCTTCTTTTTGGGAAACATGGTAGGTATAAAATCCATCGTTATCTCATCCTGGCTTTCTCCATAGATTTTTGTGTTAGCTGAGTAGTTCAAACACAACAGTTCATAATCTTGTATTCCTTTTTTAATCCTGCTTCAATTTTTTCTTTACACCAGACACATTGGACATGTTGGCTGGGACCCAAACACAGGTTTTGATGTAAGTAAGCATGTAATTCAAAACACTGAACATTTTACCATGTGCAACCCAAGTTTTGATTTTCAAAGAAATAGGATTGTTAGTCTGACTCAGTATGTACGCAGCATTATAGGCGAAGAAAGAGGTTTGGAGAAGAGGTGAAAAAAATGCTACATATTGTCACACTTTTGTGACCTGCCTCAATCCAGAGTTGTCCTTTTTAAAGTTAATTTTCTATTAGTGTGTTTGACAGCATTTACCAATCACACCAGACCCGGTGGTTAAAGAATGAAAATGTTAACTTTTTATTACATAGTAATAAACTATTGTAACAGATATAAGCTTCAGTTCATCTTCAGCTACCACAATCCAACAATAACCCCTTTCTTCAGTTTTTAATTTTTTAAACATAAACATAAAATACATAAACCAAAATATAATTTACCGTATTTTTCGCTCTATAAAAGGCATCTGACAATAAGACACACCTAATAATAAATAAATAAATAAATAAATAAATAAATAAATAAATAAATAAATAAATAAATA